AATTTAAATGTGGGCAGCACCGTCCCATTGGCTGGGCTCCAGGACCAAATAAAAAAGAGAAGGTTCGCTGAGCACCAACCTTCTCCTCTCTCTGCTTCCTGACTGTGGCCGTCATGTGACCAGCTCCCTCATGCTCCTGCAACCATGCCTTCCTGACCACGATGGACTGTGACCCCTCCAACTGTGAGCCAAAATGGACACTTCTTTCCTCATGATTCTTTTGCCAGGTATTTCTGATACAACCTCACTCCCTCACGATGTGCCTGAGGTATGATCATACACACCTCCAGAGCCAGGAGCACCCCAGCCAGGCTGAGTTATATATGGGCCTCACAATGTGTCATTAAGCCCTTCTTGCTATTGTCATTTGCAATGTCTTACAGATAGCGTCTTCTAAAGGCTATTTATAACGTCCCAGTGCCCGCTGCTGGAATCTCCTGGAGGAATCTCCATCTTTGGGGGCTGTTTCTGGCAGGGAACAGAGTGACACACCCACACAGGCATATGCCGGAGCTGGGACACGGGGACCTGGCTAGAATGCTCTGTGATTCTCACCATGAACTCAATGTTCCACTTAAACTAATTAGCCTCCCCTAGTGGCTTGCTCACCAATCCCTCCTGAAGACTCCACCTGGCGGGTTAGTCCTAGGAAGCATGCTTCTCAGCGGGGCAGTGTTTGGGGTACCCTCCTGTTTTCTTTCTTCTCAGCGGGGCAGTGTTTGGGGTGCCCTCCTGCTTTCTTTGTTTATTTTTATTTTTATTTTTTTAAATATTTATTTATTTATTATGTATACAATATTCTGTCTGTGTATGCCTGATGGCCAGAAGAGGGCACCAGACCCCATTACAGATGGTTGTGAGCCACCATGTGGTTGCTGGGAATTGAACTCAGGACCTTTGGAAGAGCAGGCAATGCTCTTAACCTCTGAGCCATCTCTCCAGCCCCCTCCTGTTTTCTTTGATTTAACATTTGGGAACCATCTCTGAGGAGCACCGAGTACCAACCTCAGTCCTTGGCATGATGGGTGAAATTCTCTTGATTGTTTTTTACATTTAAAGAGGCCGTATCTTTGTTGTGTATGTATGAGTGTTTTGCTTACACTTGTGTCTGGGTACCACATGCGAGCCTGGTGCCTACAGATGCCAAAAGAGAGCATCAGATCCCCTCAAACTGCAGTTACAGGTAGGGATGAACTACCATGTGGGTTCTAGGACAGTAAGTGCTGTGTGTGTGTGTGTGTGTGTGTGCATGTGTGTGTGCGTGCATGTGTGTGTGCATACCATAGCACATATGTGGATGTTAGAGCACAGCTTACAGGAGTTGTCTCTCTCTTCTAGAGGACACGCCAGGCCATTGGGTTTGGTGGCTGAGTCATCCCGTTAGCCCTCTTGTGGTTTTGTTGTTGCTGTTGTTTTGTTTTGTATCTGTTGAAATAGGAGCGGCGGGGCTGCGTCCCCAACACCCCGGCCGCTTGGCTAGCTCATGTCCGAAATAAAAACACACAAACTGTATTCATTTAAGAACTGCTTGGCCCATGAACTCTAGCCCTTACAGGCTAATTCTCGCACCTGGACTAGCCCATTTCTAATGATGTGTGTAAGCACCCCAAGGTGCGCTTACTGGGAAGATTCTAGCCTATGTCCATCTTGGGTTGGAGTTGCCTGGGAGAGCTGAGCTTGGCGTCTCTGCTCCAGAGAGCAGAGCTGTCGGGTCTCTCCAGGAGCAGAGCAGAGTCTGACCTCACTTCCTCTTCCGCCCAGAATTCTATTCTGTTTACTCCTCCCACCAATGCTTTAACCTATGAGGCCAAGCAGTGTGTTTATTACTTAACCAATGAAATCAACAGATTGATATATGACACT